GAGGTTGAAGAAGATTGTTCTTCTTGTTGTTCAAGGCTTATGTGATTTAAGTCTTGGTTGTGAAGTCTTGTAGAGGGCATATCTACGAGCGGTTGTGTCGAGGCTTGTGGGATTCAAGTTCTCGAGTTGTAAACGGTTTGTTAAGCACCCGTAAGCTTAACGGAAGTAGTGGTAGCTTCGAGAGAGTCTCTCGGGGAACTGGACTAGCCACGAGGTGGTGAACCAGTATACATCGGTGTGTTCTTTCCCTTCTCTATTTTATTTCCGCTGCACTTACGTTTATATTTTTTAATCCTGCGAAAATCGGTAAACATTCTCAACAACTCTATTCACCCCCCTCTAGAGTTGCACGCCTTGTCTAACACTTTCCTATTACACACAAGACTCTATAATTGCTTCTCAACCACACGATGCACTATATCCAATGAATGTGAATCATTCTTATTTCTTTCATTGAGACTCATTCTTAGGGCTGTAAATGGATAGCCAAAAATCTTATTACCGTCCGCATCCGTATTCGTTTAAAGAGGAAATATCCGCATCCATTTTAAATGGATATTATCCGTTTCCGATTAAGGATATCCGATTACTAAACGGATACGGATTTGGTAATTGTATATCCGATCTGTTTAAAATCCGATCCGAATATGCATTCGTTTAGATAACCGTTTATCCAAATATCCGATCCGTTATATATAGTTTTCCTATTTTTTATGTTTATATTTTGTTTCTTTATTGATATTTCAGAGTATCAGAAATTTTTATATACAAAATAAATGTGTAGACACATAAAAATATGTGCAGACATATAAAAATATGTGTATATGTGTGCCGTGTATATCTTTTTATCATATAAGTTATCGTAGAATATCATAAATTATGAAAACAAAGAAAATAATTATCCCATAACAGATTATAGTTGATTTAATAATAGTTTGACTTTAATTTAATTTAAAATTAAAGTATTGTCTAATTCGATTTTAAAAATTGGAAACGGATACGGATATATCTGATATCCGACGGATGCGGATACGGTTTTTGATTTTTAGTATCCGTCAAGATCCGTATCCGAATTCGGTATCCGACAAAAATAAACGGATATGGATTTGGTAATGGCACATCCGATCCGATTAATATCCGTTTACACCCCTACTCATTCTTACTAGAACCAACCCCTATATATATATATAACTCTAAACCACAAAATATCCTCCAAACAGATTAATCCCTACCACCTGGGTAGGAACTTCCAGCCCATAAGCCACCTAGCTTTTGCTCATGATCTCATAATTTTCCTGAACTCAAGCACCACTAATCTCAACAGATTCATCACTTTCCTAAAGGACTATGAGATGGCCTCTGGGTAAGCTATCAACTCCATCAAAAGCCAATTCTATCCCCCCACCAAAACCACCCCCTCTCAGTCTAACAAGATGGCCTCTACCCTTAACATGATGAAAGGTTCTCTCCCTTTCAGATACTTGGGCACCCAAATCCATAAAGGCATCAACACACTCACCTACTGCAGTGACATCCTTCAACACTTTGACAACAAACTCAAGTCCTGGTACAACAACCATCTCTCCCAAAGTGGGAGGATGAGTTCCCCCATCATGCTCATCTCAAAATTTCCTTGCATGAGGGTTGAGAACTTGGTGCAGAGATCTTCCTTAGTTGAGCCAAATATGATGTTGTCCACATAGATTTGGACTAATAAGAGATCTTCTCCATCTTGTAGTTTGAACAATGTCTTGTCAATGACTCCTTTGGTAAATCCATTGTCTATAAGAAATTGAGACAATGTATCATACCAAGCTCTTGGTGCTTGTTTGAGTCCATACAGTGCCTTTTTGATTCTATACACTTGATCTCCCTTAGTGTGTAACTCAAATCCTGGAGGTTGTTCCACATAGACTTCTTCCTCGAAGTTTCCGTTGAGAAACGCGCTTTTGACATCCATTTGATAGACTTTGAAGTCCTTATGAGCAGCAAAGGCTAGAAACAGCCTTATAGCTTCAAGTCTAGCAACTGGAGCGAAGGTTTGATCAAAATCTATACCTTCTTCTTGACAATATCCTTTTGCAACTAACCGGGCCTTGTTTCTAACAACAACGCCGTTTTCATCCATCTTGTTCCGGAAGACCCACTTTGTCCCAATGACATGTTGATGAGTAGGTCTGGGAACAAGTTTCTAGACATCATTTCTGGAAAATTGGTTGAGTTCTTCTTGCATTGCATTGATCCAATCGGAATCAGCTAGAGCTTCTTCAATATTCTTTGGTTCCACTTGTGAGATGAAACAAGCAAGCATAGCTTCTAGATTCTGTTGGGCACTCCTTGTGCGAACGCCAGATTGAATATCTCCAATGATCTGTTGAGGAGGATGATCCCTTAACCAACGAAGATTGTGTTGATTGGGATTGACTGGTTGATCTAGTTCAGCTTCTGGTTGAAGAACAGAAGTTGTTGGTGTTTCCAGATGGATTGGCACTGAGTCTCCATTTCCGGAATTGTCGCTGTTTGAGAGATCCGGAATATTGGAAGGCTGGCCAAAATTTCCGGTAGGCTCAACATTGTCTGAATCCGGATTTCTCTATGAAGTTTTCAGTGGTAGACTTCTGAATGGAATGAACTCCGTAGGCTTCATTCTATCTCCTTCATTGACTTCTTCATCCTTGTCTGATAGATCCAGAACCTCATGATCATGTTTTGATGGCTTGTCAACCACATGTTTTTCATCAAAAATAACATGTATTGACTCTTCAGTGATCATGGTTCTTTTGTTGAAGACTCTGAATGCCTTGCTCACCATGGAATATCCTAGGAAGATGGCCTCATTTGATTTCTCATCAAAAGTGTTTAGATGATTCTTCCCATTGTTTAACACAAAGCACTTGCTTCCAAAAATATGGAAATATGATATATCAGGCTTTCTCCCGTTCCAAAGTTCATAGGGAGTTTTGTTGTGCCTTTTATAAATCATACTCCTATTTTGAGTATAGCAGGCTGTGTTAACAGCTTCAGCCCAGAACCTCTTTGGCAAAGAAGCTTCAGCTAGCATTGTCCTTACTGCTTCCTTCAAGGTTCTGTTCCTTCTTTCAGCTACACCATTCTGTTGAGGCGTCCTTGCTGCGGATGTCTGATGAAGAATTTCGTTTTCTTCGCAGTAGTGAATGATGATTTCATTCAGGAAGTATGTGCCTTTGTCAGATCTGATCTTCTGAATGGTCTGACTTGCTTGGTTTTGAATCAGCTTCATGCAGTTGGTGAGTTTCCCTTGAGTCTCCTTCTTGCTGTTGAGGAAGACTGTCCACGTGTATCTTGAGTAATCATCAACTACCACCAGGACATATTTCTTTCCACTTAGACTTATTGGTGTAACAAGGCCAAATAAGTCCATGTGAATAAGACTTAATATCCTTGTAGTTGAGGGTGCCGGTTTTGCCTTGAAAGTAGACTTGACTTGCTTTCCTTTCTGGCAAGCATCACAAATGCTTTCCTTCCTGAATACAGCTTTGGGAAGACCTTCTACTAACCCTTCTTTGGACAGCTTGTTGAGAGTTTTGAAGTTGAGATGACTCAACCTCTTATGCCAAAGCCATAGAAGGTTAGTGTCACTTTTGCTGATTAGACATGCTTCCTTGACATTGTCCCACATTACTTCATAGATGTTTCTGATTCTATTCCCAGTGAGAATGACTTCATTTGTGGAGATGTTTTTGAGAGATGCCTTGTCCTTGCAGAATTCGAAGGAGTAACCTTTGTCACAAAACTGACTTATGCTAAGATGGTTATAATTGAGACCTTCAACATAAGATACAGCTTGGATGGTTAGTCCCTTGTACACCAGATTTCCTAGCCCTTTAGTAAGGCTGAAATCATTGCTTCCTCCAAAAGTAACTCTTGGACCATCATAGGGAATTAGATTGCTCAAAAGGCTCGCATCACCCGTCATGTGTCTTGAACAGCCACTGTCTAAGTACCAGACACCTGGGTATTACTTAGTGGCATCCTGCATTAGGAAGAGGAAGATTTTGGTACCCAATTCAGTTTGGGTCCGGAATAGTTAATGGTGTGTGTCCCTACTTCAAGTTTGAAATTGCAGGGAATTTTCCTTGCAGCTCTAAACTTGTTGGGATTGTAATCATAGTTGTAGGCATAGAATTTCCTACGTGCAGGAGGTGCTATTTCCTGTTTCCTCCTAGCAAACCTAGGTTGATAAGACCTATAGTTTTGTCTAGGTTGTGCATAGTGTGACCTGTGACGGTTATAAGCATACTTAGGTGGCACAAATAGTTTCTAGGGTGGAGGGTGACTATATCTTGGCATAGTTCTCCACTCTGAATTTCTTGGAAAACTCCTATCTACCCCATAATGAGTATAGACTCGTGTATAGTGGGGGTTAGAAGGTTTTCTTCTGAAATTATTTCCTCTTTGAGGTCTGTCCAGCTTCCTATAGTTCTTAGGAGGGACTACCTTTTTGGGAACTTCTGTTGGTTTCTCCTTTTCCTTTCCTTTCTGCTTATTTGGTTTGGCAGTAGGTTTAGGAGGGATGAAAGTTGTTCTCCCTTTCCTTTTGGAACTAGAGGGGTCAAACCCAAGTCCTTCACGACCCTTTTGTTTGGTCGTTTCAAGAAGCTTGTCCACTGCTTCTTTGGACTTAAGTATCCCTAGCTCTTTGTTAAGGGATTTTACCTTTTTAGAGAGAGATTCATTTTCAGTCTTGAGTTGAGTGATCTCATTCAGTTGACTTTTCCGACTTTCAGTCAACTTGAGATTCTCTTCACTCAATAGTTTGTTCTCCTCTGTTAAGGATGAATGTTTGAGATTTATTTCCTCAAAATCTTCCATCATCTTTTTGAACTGGTCAAAAAGATTTTCAGAAGTTGGTATGCTTTCATAAGAAGATGAGCAGGAGGTTTGTGAAGTTACCTCTTGATCAGCATCATCTTTGGCCATTAGGCAAAGAGTGTCATCTTCTGACATAGTCCACCTATCCTCATGGTTGGACTTCTCAACTCTGCGCTCCATGCAGACGAGGGCTTCTTCATCCGAGCTTGAGCTGGATGACTCGTCACTTTCAGCAGCAATCATTGCCTTCTTTTTCTTCTCGTTCCTCTCTCTTTCTCCGTACTTCTCCACCTTTGGGTACGGGCATGCTGACTTCCAGTGACCAGGCTTCCTGCAGTTATAACATAAATAAGATTCAAGAGGGGAATCACTTACCTGTGGCTTTCCCTTGGATGGCCTTCTGACTAAGTCAGCCTTCTTGAAGAACTTCTTGAACTTCCGGAATTGTTTGACCATCATGACAAATTTCTCATCGTAGTTCTCCATTTTTGAGCTTGACGGCTGGCTGGAGGAAGGTTTGTCACAGTTTCTTGTGCCTGTCCCTTCACTTGATGGGACTCTTGGAGTTGTCATCAATGCCGTAGGGAAGGGAGTGACTTGTTCTTCCTTCTTCTTCTTCAGCTCGTGCTCATAGGTTCTGAGCTCATCAAGGAGACCTTGGACAGTGTAGTTTTCCAGGTTTCTTCCTTCTTCCATGGCTGTGGCTTTGGTGTACCACTCGGTTGGAAGTGATCTCAGCAACCTTACATTCTTTTCTTTGGGAGAAAGAACGTGGTTAAGTGATGCAAGATCATTTAAGATTTTGTGGAATCTTTCGTCCAATATATCAAATGATTCTCCGGGAAGCATTTTGAAGCTTTTGAACTTCTCAAGCAGGACCTCTATCTTCTGCTTTCTTAAGTCCTCTGATCCCTCACATAGCTTCCCAAGACCTTGCCATATCTCCATGGCAGTCTTGAGATGCTTAATCTTGGAGAAGGTGATGGGATCAAGTGTCTTGAAGATGGCTGCTTTGGCGACGTTGTCCAGATTGTGCTTTTTGCAATCTCTATCATCCCATTTTTCTTTGGGCTTTGGAATGTACTGGACTACATCTGGAGTTGCTGGCTTCCTCTCAGGATTCTCCATTTGGATTTTCAAGGGTCCATCCTCAAGCACCATCCACATGCAGTCATGTAGAGCGTAGAGATGTGCTTCCATCATGATCTTCCAATCATCATAACCTAGAAGAGAAACTTGGGCAAACCGTGATCCATATTGTTCACCATTTTGATCGCTTCTCGTTAATCTAAACGTAGATAGTGAGAAGTTTGCTCTGATACCAATTGGTGGTCCCAAAGTGGTGAGATACAAAGTCTAGAGGGGGGGGGTGAATAGACTTTGTTACAAATTTAAAACTTTTTCGTTTCTTTTGAAAACGTGAAAATGAGTGTTAATCTAGAGTTCTTGTGAACTTTAGATTGTGTGCGGAATTTGGTGGGTAGAGTGAGCAGTAATCAATATGGATGGGTTAGTTTTCACAGTTAATATAATTGCAAGTAAAAATAAAGATAAGAGAGAGAGACACGCAAACTTTTACGAGGTTCGAAGGTGGGGTAATCCTTCTACGTCCTCAAAATCCACTATGTAGTTGGTTGTTGAATAATGAACTAACAATTACACTTGTGTGAATTTCTGCACGGTATATCTTTGCAAGGCCAATGTTGCTACTGCACTCGTGCTGGCTTTGTTGTTCCTTCGAAGGTCACGCTTCTTCAACAACTGCAAGGTCCGAACAATAGGACTTGCAAGACCAACTTGTAAGGAAGTTGACCTACCCCCTTTCAATCAATAAGTTTGATCAAAAGTTGTATCCTTCAACGTGGTGTGGTGCTTGAGGCAAGGAAACCTTCAAATGTTTACACTATAGCTCTTTGGAAGGAGGAGAAGTTTGCTTCTGGATAAGGAGTTTAGAAATCTCTCTTTATCAAGTTTTTTAGGCTAACTGTGAATGAGATAGCTTTGTTATTAGAGATTGCTTCGTTGTGGTTGTCTATCTCATAAATCGTTGTTGTATCTCATCGTGTCTTCTCTAGTCTTCCGAGGATGCTATTTATAGCTAGATTGGATAATATATCCGTTGAATCATAATAGACTATCCGTTGCATTTGCTGGCTTCAATTTTGAATGAAGATTTGTGATTTGAAGATGGGTGTTTTGGACATACCCAATTTGTTGAGAAGGGATTCCGTTTTCCACAGAATCCGTCTTTTAACTGTTGTTCAAGAATTCTGGACTGTAGCACTTTACTCTGTTTGTCTTCTAGTGCTTGTTTAGGAACTCTGGACAGGTTCTTCAGTTTGAGAAGTCCAGACTTTGTTTTTGAGTCATTTGTTCTTGAATCAGCATAATTATCTTCAATCTAGCCGTTGAAAATCAAGAGATTGATTTTTCCTTACCAACGGGTAGAATTTCTTCATTCAAGACTTAGATAATTTTCTAAGTCTTTTCTCACTTGTCTGCTTTCTGAGAATTCCGGTCTTTCTTGAGGCATCCGGTTCTTGGCTGAAAAATCCAGAGGAGTCGTTCTCAGTATTCCGGGTGAGAAAGAAATCTGCGCTAGTCTTCCGACTTAGCCTTCAGCGGGTTGTAGCGAGACTTCCGGTTCTCATGTAGTCTTCCGGATTTAAGGATTTTCATCCGCTTTGAGAAATCCCTACTTGTCTCTGACATTTCCGATCAAGATATCCAATTTCCAAATCACTGAATTTGATTAAGTCTTCAGGCATCAAACCGCTTAAAGAAATATCACAACTTTATTGGAACTCTCAAGAACTCAGTTTTAACAATATTTCTAAAAAGAAAAATTACATTGAATATCGGGGGGAGACCTAAAGTCCCTATTACATTCTAAATACATCATCAACAAAATCTATATTTTTCCCAACAATATATATATATTGCTGTAAATATCAAAGGATGTTTATTTGCTGAATATTGGGATGAATATATATATATATATATATATATATATATATATATATATATATATATATATATATAGGGGCCGGTTCCTGTAAGAATGCACCTTGTGGAGAGAAATGAGAATGAAATCTAGCTGTTGGATCTGATGCATCGTGCGGCTCACATTGCATCCTGCGCTCAGATTTTGAGATAGTGCATTTTCAAAGGATTATGATGCATTTCGACGTGATGCATTTTCAAACCATTTTGTTGCACTTAATTTTGATGCAATCCTGACCCTTAGATCGCACATTTTAAAGCACCAGATTCATTCTCATTTCTCTCCTAAGATCGCATTTTCACCAGAACCAAAATCTATATATATATATATATATATATATATATATATATATATATATATTCATCCCAATATTTATCAAAACCAAAAATGAACCAAACAAAACCAATAATTCGAGATCGGGATTGGTACGAGGTAAAATACCATACGGAACCGAAGTATTTGGTACGATCAGTACGAACCAAAGAGCTAGTCTTATTAGAAGCCGTTGAAAGTTGAAACTAGATCTTTTTTCTAGCCTCACACACTTTACTTTTGAAGATCAACTAAAGCTTTGAAATCTTTCAAAGGGGTGAAATGCTAACAATCAAGAGCACAAGTATCTAGAGAGACACATCAACATGTATTTCACTACGAAATAGACACACAGAAAAGACAAACTATACAGAACTACACATGTTGACATTTTTACATCAATTTAAAAAAATCAAAAAAAATTCCATATCCATAAGAATACGAAGCTGCTAAGGTCCAAGCAATCAATCTATTCTATCCCCTTCATTCCAAGATAAAACTCCCCCTACAAATGACTTATGATGCCCTAACTACCATGGGGAATCCCCTAACATTATCGGTAGGGAAGGGAAAATAGCTTGCCTCCCAGAGGTAGTGTTCCCACTCCTCCCGAGTCTCTTTGTCTATTTCAAAGGGACCCGGTTCCTGTTGATTGGTGAAGGATTTGGAATCGAAATGCCCTTCGGGACCTGTTCCCTGGGATGGAGACGAAGAATAAGATGAAGAAGAAGACGAGAAAGAATATTCAGATGCAGATGCATACGAGGTACCTGAAACGTTATGGCTATCCTCGGAAGACATGACCGGTAAGGAAAAAGCAAAGAAGAACTTGGAACTTACTTGGAATATTGAAGGCTCGGAGGGCTGAGGAAGAATTTGACCAGGAAATTTTCGAGAGGGGATTTGCAAAACGTGACCTGAAGAAGGGAGGAGAAAGCCTTGAAGTGACCTAATTTACAAAAAGTGACCTGAAGCAGATTTCCTACGCGTGCCAGGAAGAGGAAGTGAAGCGTCAGCCAGCACACGCGTGACAAGTGGGAATACGAAACGATGGGTGAAACGCAATGATGGCGTACGAAAAGAGCGCGGAACGTGTTGAAATTCAAATTTTGAATTTCAAAATTTGAAAATTTTAGGAAGGAAAAGCTTAAAATTCAAATTTCAAGTGCCAGATTTCAAATATTAACTTCCCGCCCTTAATAAAATTACAAGGCTGAGAAGCTGAGGTCTTCTTTATGGGTGTATTCTATCCAAGACCTGGTCTGAAACCGGATCCACGGAAACTGACAGGTCAAGTTACAAACATGTGAGAATGGAAGATTTAAACTAAAAATAGACCACTGGTCGTGTTCGAAAAAGTTGATCGGTACAAATTATAGACCTATTGGTTAGAGTACGTAACTTCAAGCTTGTGGTCTTCTGTCCCTTCATAACACAGTCGAAGAGGTAAACCTACCAGGTAGGTTATTACGGTGTAAAGTGTCGGCACGAATAACTCTAAAGTCATTTGGATGGTAGTGTCCGATTTTCAATGAAAGTTTGAGGAAATATTCCCTCAATCTCAGCTGGGCGCTACGCCCAAAGGAGTCATCAGCACAACATGACAATGGAATTATGAAAAATGCTACGGGACAAAAGGAAGCTGCCTCGCGCCATTTGAGAACGTGGGTTGATGTGGATGTGCGGCGCTCTGTTCCCTCCTTTTCGTTATAAATACTTGGGTAACTCTCAAATGAAGGGATCCAATTTTCATCTCTCTAGAGTTCATAGTGTAATTGCTCCCGACACTCTCTTACATACTTAATAACAATTACACTATATGTGTTTCTACCTTTAGTTCTCTCGATCAATCTTTGCTTTCTGCACTTCTTTACTTTCTAAGCTCAGCAGACTATTCTAGATTAGGTCTAGTACAGTTTGCCCGGGTGATTAATTTACACCATCAATAGACACAGTCATTTTTAAAAAGATAAAATTTTGCACAATGTTCAAATAATGTAAATGGATTTGGAACAAATGGAGTATATCAATCAATGAATAAAGATATTGATAATTAAAATTATATTAAAATAAAAATCAAGAAAATTCAAATGAAAAGATCGCTGATAAGAGACGTGGCAAAATTAATTTATAAATAAAATAATTTTGGGAGACATTTTTTAATTTGTGGTAAATGTTCCAACAACTATGCTATGGGCAGACCAAAAAATATACCCCAAGTTGTAGCCCGAACGATTGTATTGACATTTTGATACTTCACACTGACATAAAATACTAGTTTAATAAAAAAAATTGCATTAATATTTTGTGTTAGCATAAACTATCACACTAGAATCACACCAATACAAAATGTATTTTGGTACATATCTTCAGAGATATAATTTTTGGAGTACAAATAAATTATATGATCGAGACATTGTTGATATTATCATTAACTAGTATTTCACCCGTGCGATGCACGGGAATATATATTCTATCAACTTTTAAATTATTAATATTAGGAAAAAATAACTGCATCAATTTTGGGATTTTATTTAATGTTTTATTTTTATTTTAGTTATAGACAAGTATGTACTTTATTAACGGTCTAGAATGAGAGGAGTTATCTATTAGAGATCTATTAAGTTAATTTCAATACCAATTAAATAATCTAATATTATTTTCAATTAAATTCTTTATAAAGAATACAGTTCTTTATAAAGAAAATAATAAATTCAAATGTTCATGATCTTTGTGAGATGTTATGTACTCAATAATTAAATTCTTCCATCTTTTCTAATTTAAATACGATGAATCGTTATTTTTTACTCCGTATATAATAGTCATTACTTACCTACTCTTATAAATTTAAATTTTTTTACATTCCTTCATTGAATCACCAATTTTGCCATAGACATTGTGATTCAAATTATTATTATTATTATTATTATTATTATTATTATTATTATCATATATATATGGAAAAATTACCCAAAATAATCCCTACTTTACTCGGTCTTTCAAAAATAATCTCATCTTTCACTGTGATGCATAATAATCCCAACTTTACTGAAATTTGCCAGTTTTGGGTTGCCGTTAAGTTTCTAACGGAGGGTTAACGGAAATGCCCGTTTTAGGCAACAAAATGAAAGTTGGGATTATTTTTGATGAATTTTAATTTTTTTATTTTTTTTAAATTTTTCATTTAAATTTTTTAAATTACTTTCTACCTCCATCATCATTTCTTTTTGATTTTCTAAAGATTAGTCTTAGTTTAAAAAATATAAAAAATAGATATAAAAAATGAAAAAATGAAAAATGTAACTAAAATGATACGAAGTACAAAAATAATAAAATAAATAAGGTAATCAATGGAAACTAACTTGAAATTGGTAAAAGTAAAATAAAAAAATACGGGTGGGTTTTCATATTTTGTGCATTATACAAAGTATTAACATATCACTTCTTATTTTTTTAGAAAAAATAATCTACAATAATTCCAACTTTACTGGACGGCTTGTGTAAAATGTTAAAACCCACCACTCCGTATATATTTATTTTATTTCTTACCAGTTTCTGTTTAATTTCTATTGATTACATTATTTATTTGATTAATTTTGTATGGTTTTAGTTATTTTTCTCATTTTCATTATTTTTTATATCTATTTTTTCTAAGGTAAGAATATTCTTTAAAAAAGAAAAAGAAATGGAGGTTGAAAGTAATTCAAAAAATTTAAAAAAAAATTCAAAAAAAATTAAAAAACAAAAATTCATCAAAAATAATATCAACTTTCATTTTGTTGCCTAAAACGGGCATTTCCGTTAACCCTCCGTTAGAAATTTAACGGCGATCCAAAACTGACAAATTTCAATAAAGTTGGGATTATTATGCATCACAGTGAAAGATGAGATTATTTTTGAAAGACTGGGTAAAGTTGGGATTATTTTAGGTAATTTTTCCTATATATATATATATATATAAAGTAGGGTTTATTAGATGTGGGGTTGACACCTAGCTTCTTACTTGGCGCATGATGTGGAGGATGGCTCTTGGTCTTCTCTAGCGTTACAACTTGGGAATAACACACCTACGCTTCTCCAGGGAATAACAACTTACTTTAGCGTTTTGAAAAAGCTATTAGCCTTACCTTTTTAGGAATTAATCGACGCCAACAGCGGGTCGGCCAGCGTAGCTCTGAACGAAGGAACGACGACGGCTAAGGTCTGATCGACGTTGCTCCAGGTTTTTCTCCTTCAATTCTAATGCTCAAATTATAATAAGGGATTCCACAGAATTTGGTTTCGAACGTGCAATCTGGTATTTTTTTGGAATTTTGATTACTTGATGCAATTATAGTGCTATAGAGAGGATTAATTGTTATTGAAAAGTTCACATATGCAATCCAACATATGTTCTCTGTTGGATTTGATTTGAAATCATATTTTTCATATATTCCGTATGTTCTTGGAATAGTTAGCATTATTTAGCAGTAAATACTCACCTTCAATCTTTAGAATTTCCCAAACGGACTCAGAGTGAAAAAATCCGACTAATTTCTCTATATTCTTTGTTTTTTTTGTGAAAAATCTTTTTCTGTTTCTAATTCCACCTGGAGACCCATCTAGACAGGTTGATAGGCATGGCATCTCCCCAATGTAATTCATTGAGGAACATTCTTGAAAGATGTACCCCTATTGAAAGTCTGACACGCAAGTCTGGAATTTGAATGATTAAGGTCGTGTGGTGTGTGACACACTTTTCTCTGATCAGCTGGATTTATCATTGTCACAATGCCTAGAGGTTAGTTTTTTCATCGTTTGAATGCCCGTTCTTCCATTTTTATTTTTTTGGTGCGACACCAGTGCTCCCCATGCACCCCTTTAATTTAATGGACTTTGATAAGGTATGCTAGAATGGGCTAAGATTGCACACTGCCACACTTATAGGTTATTCTGTCTTTTTTTAATGACTTTCTATTGTTGTTTGCTTATTTAAATTTATATTCTATAACACAAAAATTTTTCGCAGACCTGGTTGGGCATGTTTGCACGGAGTGGCAAGTATTGGTGAAGAACATTATTGAGCTCAAGTGTGTGCCACATGCTAGAGCTTCAAGATTTAAGGTGTGTTTTTAGTCAGTAATTTTATATGATTAACTTTACGAAATTGGTAGATAACTCCATTTCTCTTCAGGATGCATATTACGGAGTAGCTATTTCCCAAAGTACTATGTGGATAGTGCTTCTTGGTTTTCATTCATTACCATAGGATCTATTTGTAAAAAAATAAACAAAATGAGCATGATTGTAAGTTTTCAGCAGTATGTGGATAGCACTACTTGGTCTCCATTCTTGGTTTGTATTAGCTATCTCTGGAAGCAGTATGTGGTAAGCACTGCTTGGTCTCCATCCATTTGTGTTAAGCTATTTGTACATTTTAATTTGGATTTTATAATTTCTTGAATACAAAATTATGTCAATTTATAAAACTGATCATTATCTTTGATCCTCTACGTAAGTATGGAGTATATGAGTAGTTGATCAATATAAATGGATCCTTTATATATCGATCTAATATAACTTGGATATGAACTGTTCTAATTTAGTATATCCTTTTTTTCAAAAATTAATGAACCTCAAAGTTGTGATCTTCTATTTAATTTTTATATTTAAATACAAACCACCAGAACAATATTTTTAATCACCATCTGTTTTGTTTAAATTTAAAACATAATAAAGTATGGATATCACTACTTTATCTCCATTCCTTATCGTAGGAGTAGTTTAAAACATTATTTTCCCCTGTTCTTCAAGAAAATTGGCCTTTGAGTAAGGACCATGAGTTTTTTTATCGTGGTTCTATAATTTTGAGGTTCTGCTGCAAACCATGGACATGCCATTAAAATTTAATAGTGTAGAAGAAGGTATCTAACCTGTCCTTCCGTACACAATGAAAAGTGTAGAGGTGTACCCAAAGAAAAAAAATCAATTAAAGATGGGATTGTTGTTCGTGTGTTTTCTTCAAATTTGGTGAAGAAATAGTTAATGAGAAAGGGCCTTTTGATATTTAGTATATGCATTCCTTAGTATAGTATTTAGTTCTTCTTTTTCTTTTTATTCATTTTTATTGCACACATTGCAACTTCCACCTCCACCACGATCACTTTTTCATCCATGGTATCCCGGTGTCTAATTCAACAGTGGCTTTGACCTATCACATTGCTTATCCATACTCCCATGAAAACCTATGTAATGAAACATTATATAGTACTCCCTCCGTTCCCCTGTATTTGTCCATTTTCATTTTTACACACCATCCAATGCACTTCTTTAATCCATTTTATCTTGTAATTTGTATATTAAAAAATTATAGAAATTATATATTAATAATCTATACGTTAAGACAAATCAAACAAGATCACACATGACTATATTTAGGTTTATACATTGAGAGAATTTGATGAGTCAAAGTGCTTAGATGAACAGTTCCAAAAGTCAAATGTGGACAAATACAGGAGGACGGAGGGAGTATAATTTAGGGTTCTTTAATATAATTATCATTTGCAGGGTAGGGCTCAAGGTGCCTTCCCAAGGAATTCATCCAAAAAGTGATTGCCTTCTGCTTCATAGGTGAGTCGACTTTTTCAAGAAAGAATGGGCATTCTCTCTACTTTGTTTTAGCAGTAGCCTTTTTAACAGCGGCCCTTTCAAATAGTGTTACTCCAGTTTATCTTTTGGAGTACGAAGTATTTTATTATACTCATCCGACCAAAACTTATGGTTGTATTTTGATTTCTCCAGTTACTTTGACCATAAATATAATATAGTTTTGAATAAATATTTTTTTAAAAAAAATTGCATATTATAACTACATCTAAAAAAAGAGCCCAATAATATTAAATTTACGTTATAATTGAATATATTTTCAAATACTTTATTGTCAAACTAATCATAAAAGTCAAACAAGACCAATAATTTTGGGGTAGGGAGCAGAGTTTTTTTATTTATTCCGTATTTATTTTTAAATACTCCTTATACTTTGTTGGCCATTTTCTTTCCTTATACTCCCCAATCTCCTTACACACATGGCCATTTATTTTTAAATACTCCTTATACTCCCCAATCTCCTTCATTCAGGAACAATAATAGTGAAAAATGTATCCCTGTCAAATGTTTGACACGTGAATCTGGAATTTATATGATTATGGTTGGTGTCTCTTGATTATGGGATGTTTACAACATGAAGACCAACAAAGATATAATTAGCTTCGACATGGTGTTGATTGATGAAGAGGTAGAAACTTTCTAATATTGGACGCTTTTTTTCTGTTAAAGTAAAATGTGTTTTGGTTTAGCATATGGCAATGCATCTGTGTTATGTTTTAGGTCTTTTATATCCATGCTACAGTAGAAGGTAGTTATTCTCATTTATTTCGAGGTACATTTGCTGAAGGCAGTGTGTATTTTTTCTGTCATCGGCAACAAAAATGGATATCGTGGGCTAGGGATATGTGCACGTGTTTGTAATGAATGTTTTTTTTTGAATTTATTTTTAGCTTGTGGAATTGTGTGTGCATTAGGAATAATTAATAACATATGGTAACCATGGTAGTATTGGGGAAAAGGCAATCATATATTCCATGGAAGTCCTATTGAGATGCACTATGAGCAATAAAATAATTGAAGTCTCAATCAAGAGTGATGTTTATCTTGCTTATTAGACTTATGCATCATGCTTGATTAAACTTAAACGGAGTAGTATTTAATGCATTGATTGTTTACATCAGTTACTGTGGTAGACTGCTTTGGACAATCAGTATTAGCCTAATGTACCCAAATTGAATAGGCAATTCTCGAATATCAAGTTTATTCCTGCATAGAATAAACTTCCATATATCAATGTCATGCAATTAAAGCAGTATCTTGAAATTAAAATGAAATATGGTATTTAGGAATTGACTCGATTCCAATGTCATTTAACGTTGAATGACCTATTGTAAGTCTTCTGTGAAATTCCGCTAATTGCTTGCTGCATGACGATAAAATCTTTTCCACATCATACATTAATCATCATCATCCAAACACCATTGCGCAAAATCATGCCCAATTGAATCCTATACATACATGCACACAAACACAATTAAAAATACCTTCATAAGTAAATACATAAATAATAATCATTGATGGAAAATATCCTACCAGAGAACTAAATTTTACAAACACCGAGTGTGCATACACATACGTCACTGTATTCACAAATCACAATCAAAGTATTGGAAAAAAAACTTGTAAGAAATGAAGATAAAAAAAGGTAAGAAATTTACCTTCAGAACTTTTACAAACACCAGTTGAGCTCGCCAAAGAAAACACAACCGTATCGGAAAAGATTTTGATTGCCATCATAGCTAGATGATTTATCGCCATTGAAAACAACCAGCTAGGTCTCCAAGCTTGCTCGGCCAAAAAAATCAGCACCTAGAATCATACAGAAGCTGGAAGATTCTATATAAAATCATAAGCAAAAATACTTTATTTTACTCAATTAAAATCATAGGCAAAAATACTTTATTAATGGCATTCACGCAATTAAAATACTTTATTTTACTCATAGGGAACATGCCAAAAATTCCTTGTTTATCTTTAGCTTGCAGTCTTGCATATTACTCTTAAGTTGCTTTTTAACTTAGAGCAAATGATTAAAAATTGGGCAGTTAAAAAAAGGAAACAAAGGCCTTGGATTACTATTACCGCATAATAGATCTCCCCAATATTGCACTTTTTCAAACCATTGTGGTGCTGGACAACTTATTGGGTCCTCTTATAGTGTAGGAAACTGACTTCCCTGTTGCATGTCTTCTTGAGCAACCATGTTCTAAAATCCCTCCAGTAAACCAAGGTCAATTTAGTTAGTGCAATACGACTCATTCAACCATCACTTTAGCAAAACAGTGTTTTCTTGGGTTTTCCAGTTTGCTTTTCCCTATCCACATCAAAGATGCTCGTTATTATTATTATTATCATATATATATATAAAGTAGGGTTTTTTGGTTGTGGTGGTGACACGTGGACAATGACTAGGCAGCTTACACGGATAATTTTTGATGACTTGGTTCTACTTCCTGCCACGATAACAAACTAATAGCGTGTTCCTTTGGATTTGTAATTTTCAATTCGCCCGTCTGCCTTCCTGAAACGTTCTGCTCATCAAGTTCTCCAAATCAATTGCTTTGAGCTTCCGGTTTTCCTAGGTGAGAGGTCGGAGGTCTGCGATTACATCATGGACCATAAATATCTTTTCTTTGTAACACTAGGTCTGTTTATTACCTCCGATTTAAGTGTAATCATTATTAAATCTCTTTTTTTGTGTGTTTTATTTTGTATTTTTTTTAGAGCATTTGTGTTTATATTGAGTGCGTGATTTTGAATGTCATACGAAATATTAGGGGCAAAGCACCGATATTATAAATAGGATCTGAGCAGTAATTTTGAGGGCACTGTGTAGAATGGACCTGCGGAATTGAAGAAGGAGAAGCCTAAATTTATCTCTTAAAATGGAGTCCGAAGTGGGCTTTGGTATCCAAGATAAGAAATTTTCACTTTGGTCCCATCTTTAAAGTCATATAATAATATATTAAGTATTTCTGATTTGGTGCATAATATATACATGTGCGTGTGTTTTTGGAATGTTTAAGCCCTGCATTTATTCGAATGCATTTCTTTGATTTTATGGGAATGGATACATGCTATGGATTTTAGATATTCTTTGATGTTAAATTTGCATTTCATTTTTGAATTATACTGTAATATAGATTAGAGGTAATTGGGATGTATGTGTAAATTAGACAAAAAATTATTGTTTTTGTTATGCAAAATGAGCACCATTGTTCTTGAGTACTTCATTATATTGTGGTGATTTTTGGAATAATCAATTGTTGTTCTGTATTTTTCATGCCAAGAGGATTATTTCATTATTGGTTAAATGCATTGAAGAGATATTAGGTTAGAAATATAATATGCCTATTTGCTAAATGCTGACAACAAAATTGAAATGCCTCTTTCTTTAATTGCTTTGAAGGATTTGAGAATTTTGAACACCTCCAAAGGCTTATTTGATCTTTCAAAGCACGAGTAGCAGTTTAGGGTTAGTGAGAAATAATTTTTAATCTTCCTAAAAATATTATCCTTACTTTTATGAATTGTACTAATATTATTCACCCACTTGGATATATTAATGGTATAGGGGGTCAGGGATGCAATCCACTGCCATTAACATGAACATGCTAACTATCTTTGTTTTTGAGTGGCACTGTAGCTACCACCTCTACAACTTTATTCCCCTTGCACCCCTCTATCTCAAGAATGCAGTTATTATTACTTATCGTATCATTAAATCATTGAGCACAAATTTTCACTCATGACAAGTGTTATGCTGCTTACCTTTGGAAATATGGTTAATACCATTTTTTTGCTGACGTCTTCTTCTAATTGCTCTTAATGGCCCATTAGTTCTTTACACTTACTACTACTATTTATGTTTTAACTTTGTAGGGCTCTATATTTCTATACAATAAATTAAAGTAATGCAGAAGGTTTTTTTGTTGAGATGGCTGAAAAACACATTTCTACCATCTTTTTAAGATATATTTTGCTTGATAATTTAGCAACTTGAGTTTTACTACTCCAATAAATGCGAGATCATAGACATTAAAGTCAATTTTACCCTTACTAAATACAGAGTATGTAGGCTCTAAGGTTCCTTTTTTGGTTGTGGAATCCTAGGCTCTTAAAGGTTGGAAATAAAGGTGTAAGATTTGGACACACCAAGGTATTACAATTCCCGTTACACAAAAGAAGCTGTAGTCCGTGATGAAGAACTTTGCTGCTATCAAGCGTTCACGTCTCTCAGAAAGCCATCAAGAAACTGAAGAAAAGAGGTCAAAATCTCAAGAAGACATGAACGCAAGTCATTGCTTCGCTTGGAGGGAATGCCAAGTGGCTGTGAAACTAATTGTAGAAGCCGGTGAGTTTCATTCATTAATTATATTGTGAACTTTATGTAATTACACTCTTACGGGGTAAAATGTGTTTGCGCTCTCACCATGAGCCTCATGGACACTTTTAGTAGTTTTCACATCCATTTCACACTAGCATGAATGGTTGTTGTTTTTGGTGCTCATTATTTCAAATGACTATTTTTGAAGCTACACCTGAATCAGTCCATTAAGGCTCGCTAACCTCATGGTGACAGTGCAAAGTATACCCAACCAATTATAGGCCCAAATACAACATTTATAGCGTTACAATCATCACAATTCAAACCTTGGTCTAAAATTAGGTTTTGGTAATATTCAATTATTCATGCTCTAGAATTAGTGTTTTAATAGAATTGATATTCTTATGTCTTTTGCAGAGATCTTGGGAGTTGAAATAAAGCTGAAATCTTGAACTTAGCTTCGCTACTTATGAGTAATCTTCCATGACATGTTAGCTCACTAAAATTTTATTATATTTCACCATCCCAGTTTCACAATACTATTACGGAGTGTATTTGTAACACCAATTTTTTAATTTTTTTTAAGTTCGTAAGTTGTTTATTATGGAGTAGATAACGACAGTATATATCAAATTCCTTCATTTGAGATCCAATTTTGGTGTTTTGCACAGTGACACAATTCATACGTTGGCCGGAAAAAAGGTATGCACATCCATAAGCTTAATTTTGCTTTCCCGGTTGATTCCTCCAATTGTTTTCAGCTTTTAATTACAAGTTAGAATCACATCCTAAAATGATTATTGTAATACATTCGCGAGTGGGGGGTATTGTCGAAGCATTTGATGATTGTGGTCAAGGCCAAAATATTGGAATCCTTATTTCTTTTTCTTCTGTAGTTCAAGGTTGACAAATTTTAGTTTTCTTAGCGTTAAGGAAAAAATACTGAGGGATGACCAATGCTTTGGTCAAAGCCACATGTCTTTGAAATATGCGTCTAGATTTGCATGTTCCACTTTGCAAAGCCACAAGTTTCTTTTACTCCATGCAAAGGGTACGCTAAAATTTGGTACCGATAGACCTCGCAAAATAGATTTGGGATTGATTACCCGAACTGAATCATCCGAAATTGAAACCGAAACTAAAATGATCTGAAAAAATGAAGGTCTGA